ACCAATGGGAAGGACGCTTCCTCCCAGACTCAGATTCAGGGCCCAATCATGGGGCACTCCCACCCTGCAAACCCCCCCCAATAAAAAACACAGAAAGTCGGTAAGCAATTAACTCTCTAAATCATAAATGGACCTTTAAAAATCACCCTTGCTCAAAGAAACATGTGTACCATTCGAGTCGGCCTGCAAATTGGGGCCGAAGAGCTCACCCCAAATCCTCCGGGGCTGTCACTTCTTCCTTCACCAAGACCAAGAACAAACAACCTACATTGTGCTTGGTGCCATCAAATACAAACAGTGAGCACTACCAAGAAAAAGGGAATCTAAGATCCAGAAAGCAAGTTACAGTCTCTCCCTTCCGTAAAAGAAAGCCCGGCTGTCTGCCCAGGGAGGAAGGGCCAGGCCTTACCTGGGTGGCTTTGGGAGCTCATTGCTAGTAGTGTCGTCTCTGGGAAGCGATTCAAAATGGCTCAAAATTTCCACGGAAACAATAGCTCCAAAGAGCGCCAAGCTTCGACCAACACATGCAAGGACAGAAATGGGGCGGCTGGATCACAACCGGTCAACTCTGAGTCCTACTGGCAAGGTCTTCAGAACCAAGTAATCCAAAAGGAAAGGAGAGGTCTCCAACTGGCTTCCAAAAAGATGAACCTGCACGGTTAGAAGCAGAATACAGACCAGTTATGATGTGAAAGTTTTTATCTGGAGAGCAGTTACCTAACTAAGTTAGCAATGATTTAATATTTTACTCATTTTTATCAGGGGTCAATAAAACAATTCACATGGAATCATTTCTACTAATACAAACCAGTTGGGATTACAAAAATGTGTAAAAACGTATCCAGAGAGCTCAACTTCACCCTGCTGACATGCTGGGGTAGGTACTGAGCTGTGGTGTGCTGGGGGCTGTCCCAAGTTGTAAGGTACTTGGAAGTATCCTGGCCTCTACCCACTAGATGCCAGCATCACTTACCCCAACGCCTAGTCACAACCAAAAATGTCTCCAGAGAATGGTCAATGTCCCCTGGGTGCCAAAATCACCCCTGGTTGAAAATCTCTGATCTAGAGGCACCATTCCTTCCCCTTTCAGGAGTTTCCCCATCATTAGGCTTTGGAGAAGAAGCAGCAATTTTAACACAATTTTTTAAATGACATTATCTTGAGATACAGACATGAAAGAAAATATTTAAAAGAAAAACCGTTTTCAGCACATGCCCACCGCATACAGGTCACCTCTGCACTCTCAGACCTACACGTAATCACAGGCAGGGTTTCCACATCTGTGCACGCAGAGGCCTTAATGTTATACCTTAAATACCTTCCATCTCAGTTACTACTATTTTCTCAGGGTTTCTTTCATTGTCTGATTGTAGAAGTAAGATATCTAGGGAGCATGTTTAGAAAGGCCCAGGTGACGCCATCACGCGGAGGCGCACCCAGAGCAGTACTCTGACAGCTCCCGGCCGTTAGCTCCTGCTGCCTTTTGCCCTTGCTAATTGCTCTCTGTACAGTGGTCCCAACATTCTCCTTGCTATGTCACAGCCAAGTATTTCCCAGTGTCACTGACACCCAGCAAGCATCATTCTGAAGGCCTGTTCCTATTCTATGGGTGACAGCTGACCCCCCCCCCACCACTTCCAGAGGTCCAGACAAACCCCTGCTCCCAGGCCAAGGGTGGGACAGAACCAGCTGAGCTCACTGGGCTCTCACCCTAGGCAGCACACAGAAGAGCCCCACAGGGACAAGGCCCAAGAACCCCTGCCACAGAGACGCCCTGGGCCAGCCGACTGAGAACTTTCAGAGGCTTCTGTGCTCATCTCCTCAATAGTGAGACAAATTCCTTTTCTTGATCAAATTAGTATAGAATTTTTTTTTCCCAGTTGCTTATAACCACATAACCTGAGCCGATTCATCACGTGAAGTGTCACCCCTAAAACTGGCCATTTAGGTGATTTCCAGTTTTATGTTACTATTTACAACTCTGGGAGTAGCATCTCTATGGCAAATAATCCTATCTGGTTATTTCCTCAGGAAGCACAGTGACTTATTTATCTTCAGGTTCAGAATTTTTCTTCTTCTTCTGGTCAGAAACGTCCTGTTTTGGCAGAAACCAAGCCCAGGTGGCTCTGTGTCCTTCCCCCAAACACCTGGCTGGGTGTAAAGTCTCAAGTCACAAACGTCCCCTTCACAATCTTTAGATGCTGTGCCTCCCCCTCAGCATTGCAGAGAATTTTAAGTCCAACTTAACTATAGTTTCTTTCCAAGTAAACCCTCAGAGGTGGGTTTTGATGTCATCATTTTCTTGTGCCTGGTTCTGCCAGCATTTTCTTCTTTAATCTTGAAATTCAAAAATGTTGTCAGAGATGTACAATAAGAGTCTGTTAATTTTGCTCAAAACATGACCTTTTTAATATACATAGGTCTCTACTCTGCTCAGGAAATGCTCTTCAATTACATCTTTTACTGTAATTTTGTCACACTCATTCTGGCTGTTGGAGATTCCTGTGCCCCGTGGATGGAACCTGTCAGATCTGGCCTCTCTCACCATGGACACACCTGCTGTTTACTCTGCACTCTCAGGCAGCATCGAGAGGGTGCTCTCCACACTACGGCCACAACTTTCCACAATATCAGTTTTATTCTTTACGGCTTCTAATACAGATTTTAATTAAGACTTAAACTCTTTGTTCTCAATCAACATTTCCCTTTCTACCAGACCCTCAGCAGACCCCACCCCCCTGCCCCCACCTTCTGCCCTCTGTGTAGACCCAGGTCTTCTCTAACAAAATCTTTTGAAAATCTTCTGGAAAAAACTATTTCTGATTTAGAGTGTAAGTCATTTTCAGAGGAGTGATCATCTGCATTTCAGGACACTTCCCTCTTCCCCACATTCTGTGATGCCTTTCTGACAGGCCCCTCAGTTTATTTATCTGCCTGTTTCTCCTCAAGTTAAGAATAGCAAGTGCAGACCTGCACTCTGCCAGGACGCTGGGTGTGCCCCACCCACACTCTCCTGAGGTGAGATGCATCCCTCTGAGTTTGCTCCAACTCCAGCCACCTGCCCTGATGGGGTCCAGCCACACACGATGGCTAGCGGGATCCACAGACAGAGACAGCACTCCTCCTGACCCACATCAAACACTGGGGTCTCCACCCAGCGCAGACTGCATTTTCTAGAAAAACCTCACACGCTACACAGAGCTTATTATAAACAAATGAAGTGGGGGTGGACTATTCTAAACTATGCAATTTCATAACCAGGTTACTACAAAAATCAACAATAACTCCAAGAAAAACACTACCGTAGTTTTTAAAAGCACATTATATTTCAAATAAATAACAAGTCCAATAAATATAGAATTGTACCTTTCACAAAGAAGGTGACAAGAGTTTGACGGAAGAGGGTAAGACAAGGAACTGAAGCTTCTAAGTTACAGAATCAGGGACAATGAAACCTAACAGATCCAATTGTCTGAACGCCCCAAATGAAGGGCAGAGGCTCTCACTTTGCCTGAGTGCACAGCTGAGCCCTGTGAGGTAGGAGGATTAAGGCCTCTGGAGAGAGGAGGTAAGGTGCCTTGCAATGTAGAAACTCCTTTGTGCTCCCAACAAAGGATCCATTTTAAGTTATACTTAAAATAAACAAATTAATTAAAAGTAAAGATGGAAAGAGATATATCATGCAAACTCTAATCAGAAGAAAGCCGTGGTTACATTAACATGAAACAAAGTAAATTTTAAAGAAGGAGAATCAGCAGAGATACAGGAGGCCAACTCACAGTGACAAAGGGGTCAGCTAATCAAGCTGGCCTGACAGTCCTAGACATTTACACACCCGGTAACACAGCTTCACACCTGAAGCAAAAGGTAAAAAAGGTAAGGAGAAGTCAACAAATCTACAATTACAGTTGGAATTTCCAACACCCTGCCCTCAAGTAATTGTTAGAACAAGTAGACAGAAAATTAGTAAGAGAGAGAACTTGAACACTACCACCCAACTCGGCTGAAATGACACTTATAGAACACTCTGTGAACTGCAGCAGAATACACATTCTCCACATTCCTAACACACAGAACATTTACCAGGATAGTACATCTCTGGGGCCAGAAAAGAAGTCTCAATAAATTTAAAAGGACTCAAGTCAAGTCAAAGTATGTTTTCTCTGAGTAAAATGACATTAAATTAGAAATCAATAACAGAAAAATATCTGCAAAACTCTAAAAGTTTACAAGCTAAATAATATACTTCAAAAGTCAAAGAAAAAATTTAAAACAGAAATTGGAAAGTATTTTGAAATGAATGAGGATGAAAATACAATGTATCAAAACCCACAGGGCTTAGAAAGAAATTTGTAGCACCAGACACCTACACTGGAAAAGAAGGTCTCAATTCAATGACCTCAGGTTTCACCTTATGAAACAAGAAAAAGAACAAATAAAACTCAGCATAAGCAAAAAAAAAAAAAAAAAAAAATCAATGAAGTAGGAAAGAGAAAAAATCAAAACTGAAAGCTGATACTTTGAAACAATAAAATCAATAAACTTCTAGCCAGATTGATCAAGAAAAATAGAAAAAGGAACAAATTAACAGTATCAAGAGAGAATTAACTGTAGACCACAAGAATATTAGAGAACAGGGAACATTATCAACTTCATGCCAATAAGTTTGACAACCTGGAATAAGCAAATGCCTTGAAAGACCTAAACTCCCACAGCTCACTCAGGAGAAAGCACAGGAAAGTGTCTTCCTGGGCCCTGGCCCCTCAGCACAGCCAGCCGTGAACACTGACCATGGTAAGGGTGTGTCCAGTGGTGACGTGAAACTTCCCTCCTTTCTTTTACATTTATTAATCAGAATTCACTACAAGGAGGAGCCCTCACTTCTATCAATCCTTATTGACATTAGTATGGACACAGGGACTCCGTGCTGTCAATCTAATACTACCACAGCTTATTCACAACGTGGGTCGTTAGGTGCTCTTTTAGGTCAGAGCCTATGTTTTTCTGACAAGCCTCCACCCTAGTCACTGTTTCTGTCTTTTTGTTTTTTGGTTTGGAGTACTTGCTTTCTTTCTGGTTCTACAAGATGTCCCTGTCACAGCCCCCCAAACACTCAATCACTTCTCCAAGGAAGCCTCTGTCCCTTCCTTGCAGAACCATGCTCAGACTTGAGGACGGTGGGTGTGCAGGATGTCAAGGCACAGGCCCCACTCTGGAGGTCCAGCTCATCACAAATTCTTATTTCTGTATGATTTTAGCAGTCATAAATTTAGCACTGACAGCTCAGATTTCAACACCAGGAGGCTAATTTTAGTCACCCCATTCCTTATTTTTAACTTACTTCCTTCTCCAAGAGTGAGAAACCTGGTTCCATTATCTACAACAGATTATTTCTTTGCTAGCTTCTAGCAAACAGATGTAGCAGCTCCAGAGTTGCTCGCCCTACACAACAAGGCTTTGTCTACAAGTGACTGCTTCTGACCTCAGCCTCACAACGCCCTGTCAAGGCCCCGTCCTCCCCAGTTACTCAGGTGAGTCCAGCACCATTAGCTCCACCCATCAGCACTGAGTGAGTCTCAGCACCATC